ATTTCAGTATCGTTAAATTTAATAAAATGTTTCCAAATTGCTTATGAAGAAAAGCAGAAATAATTATGAATTCAAATATTTCTTTTAACTAAAAGTACCTTTTATTACTAATAAATACTTAAATAAATTGCAAATTACAAGTTGTATTTTCTTCGTAAGACTTCTGCGTAAACTTTCTTGAAGAATTTCTGCTTGAAAAATCTACTCTATTTCAAAGCGTTATGGTGAAAAAAAGAATTTAAAACCACGATTTGAAAATTTGAATATAATATATAAAATAGATATAGTCGTAAATATAGAAACAAATTGTTTATTTCGATTTGTTATATATATAAAATAATTAATTAAAGCAGTCCATAAATCTCAACAAAATATTTTGTCTTAATAAAAATATTTCGTTCAATCGAATATATATTAAAATTATGGAATAATCACAAATGTGAACAAATTAAATAGGAAAAACTTTATATTCGAAGATTTAGATTTCAATATTGTGTTTTCCGTTAGTTTTTTTTTCAATATAATAGGAATTAATATGAAATTTGTATAATACTAATTACTATATTTAAAAACGGTTTTGAATAACTAATTAAAAACATTTAAATACGTAAATTCAGTCTTGAATAAATGTATAAGCGTACTATTTTTTTTAAATTAAACGTTTATATTTTAATAATGTTTTTTTAATAAAATTCATGAAATTCTTAATTATTAGAGTAATCACATACTTTTTTTGAGATGACAAAAACTATTTAAATATGCTATTGTATACATACAGTATACTATAGTCGTTGAAGGCAAATAAACAACTTAAATAACTAAGACCACTATTATAGATATAATAATATAAATTTATATACAAATAATTCGCTCAAATTTAGAACCATTATAAAATATTATGATTAACCACAACGACGCCATTTAAAAAATACATATCAAAATTAGTAACATTAAAATGTACAATTAAAACAGTCCGAGATAAACATCAGACATATAAATTCTACCGGGGAATATTTACAAAACATTCATATCTAATATTTATAGAATGGACCACAATAACAGAGGATGATGGGTACATTTAACCAGGTTAAATCAAATCATATCAATCATATGCATAAAATAGCAGCTAGTCTATATACAAATTTCATCATAAAAATTATTGTGATATTGTCGACCTTTTTAAAAATGCATTGGTGTAGTGGCTCGGCGCAGAAAATAGAAAAAAACGTGTAAAAAATTATTTACACAAAATAAAATTATCTAGTCCAAAATCCCAATGCAATAATCTGACGTATTAATATAGGTGATGCAAATAATGATAATTTTTGATAAAATATTTGTTGTGCATGTGTGTAACTAAACTAATGATCTATGCATACATGCCTACATACATACATACATATACACACATACATGTATACACTCATATATACATATATACATACATACGATAATATACTTAAATATATCTAGTGAGTTTGTTTGTAACCATATTAGCGCCAATTGCAAGTACAATTCATTAAAATATATCGAATCACTATCAAAAATTTTTAAAATAAATTGTTTCATTTAAAGTGGAAGCATTTGTTTCTAAAAAAATATGTGAAAAAACATTATTATTTATTTCCATTTCGGTTATAATTTATTTTGGTTCAAAGAGCTCTTTTTTGGAGTACAAAATTGGGTTACCCGCTGCCACCATTTTAAAAGGATCGCCCATATACAAATTTCACGTGTATTTCCTCACGAAACCATAAATTATATGACAAGCAAGTGCAATTTTTCAATTTTTTATTAATTTTTCAATCTTCCAATTGACGATAATGTGGTTTATTGCGAAATTCTAGCATCCTTGCGTTACCTGAGCACTGAGAATTAGTAGACAGTTGGGAACAAGTCTTGCTCGGGCACACAATCCTTAATTCTACAAACGCAAAATACATGTAGCGAATTTTTAAATTAAAAATATCATTTGGAAACAATTGAAAATTGACTAATTTTTTCAGAAAGTCTATTATCTTCCATAATTAAAAGAATTAAAATTAAAATCCAAACATAATTAGAAGATCCTCATAAAAATTAAAAAAAAATTAAATTAAATGTTATTCGGTCACATATGTACTTTTGAATCAATACATTTATAGAAGACCAATAATAATTTTTAATTTATAATAAGAATATTTTGAATATTAACATATATTAAGTAAAAAATTCTTGAGTAAAAAATAATAATTTAAGTATTAAAATTAGATTAAAATTAAAATTCAAACATAATAAGAAGTTTCTCATAAAAATAAAAAAACTGATAAAATAAATCTAAAAATTTTCAATTAAATGTTATTCTGTCACATCCGTATTTTAAATCCATAAATTTCTAGAAAATAAATAATAATTATAATTTGTAAAAAGAATAACTTGTATATATGTTACATCTTGAGTGAGAAATAATAATTTAAGTATTCAAATTAGATTAAAGTTAAAATCCAAACATAATTAGGAGATCCTCATAAAAATAAAGATAAAAATAAAATAAATCTAAGAATTTTAAATTAAATGTTATTCGATCACATACGTATTTTTGAATCAATAAATTTATAGAGAACAAAGGATAATTTTTAATTTGTGATAAGAATAATTTGTATATATGTTAAATCTTGAGTAAAAAATAATAATTTCGAATGATTATATGATTGTACGCTTACGATTTGTAGCACAAAAAAATTAATCATAGTTTAAAATGATCTTTGTAAATTAAAAAGAAAATTATATGGAATATTTCATGGAAAATACTCATTTTTAAATTTCACAAATTTTTAAAAGCTTTATAAAAACTTTTTTACGAAAAGTGATGTAGAAATATTATAAGATATAAAAAATTTGATACTATTTTAATTTGTGCTCAATGATTGTCTCTATTGTCTTTCTATGCAAACTAATAAAAACATGACCAACTGTTATTTTTTATATTTGTAAATTTAAAATAAAATAAATATTTAATTTCAAATAAAATCAAAGTCACGAAGAGTAATATGAAAAAAAAAAGCTAAAAAAAGTTTAAAAAGTATTATTTAGAATTTTTCCTTTACTTCAAAAAGATGGTTCTGC